TTGATTACAATAGTATGTTGAATACTTTAGGACAATATTCTTAATTTCTTTTAATTATAGTATTTTTCACCTAACTGGCATTAACTAATCTTTCCTATTACACTCACACACACACACACACACACACACACACACACACTTCATAATCAACCAATGGGTTTTATTCCTTAGTTTTTTAATCAGTTGTTTACTGGTCAACTTTGAATCAATATTACCTGTGCTGTTTTAAAAATTAAGTAGGATAAGCAACACCTAAGCATTTAACTGAGGCACACAGCCAGTGCTAAATAAATGTAAAGAGAAAAAATCAAGGGCAAGATGTGAGTGTAAGATGAGTTAATATGTTTAAAACTTACCGCAGTGGGAAGAGAAAGATTCTAGTATTTGTCTAGTTCAAGCTTTGGTTCTCTCACTTGCTCTTCAAATGTTTGCAGAGTATGGAATGAATTGGTTAATGTGTGCCTGCCATTACCCACTATCACTCAGATCTAGAACATCCTCCTGTATTCCGCTTCTTAACACTTGGAGGGCTTGAGGGCTTGGAGTCTGAAGATTCCCATCCCCCAAATTCCCATGCAAGCTGGTTTCCATTTGGGATCTACAAATGGGACACAACTGAGATACCGGAAAGCAGGAGGAGAAAGGAAAGGACTCTCAGCGTCCTCCTTTCTTCTTTTAGACAGCTGCACCTCTGGCATCTTTTGACATTTGTAGCCTCAGGGTCAATCCCCTCTCCTGTCACCAGCCACATAGTACCCCCTCACAGGGGCATGTGATGGTTAATATCTGGATCCCCCCCCCCACGCAAAGCCTCATGCACTCTGAGGTGGGGCTTACGGAAGGTGATTGGATTATAGCTGCCACTACAGCTGTGTCCGGAGGCGGGGCCTAGTGGGAAGAGGAGGTCACTGTGAGTGACCGATCTCCCTTCTGGGCCCCTCCCTTCACCTCCCTCTGCTTCCCGATTGCCATGTGGTGAGCAGCATTCCTCCACCCAGGCCTTTCCTCCATACCTTACTGCCTTGGAGCCAACCATACAAGGACTGAAACTTCTAAAATGTGAGCTGAAATAAACCCCCCCTCCTTTAAATTGTGGGTGTCAAGAAAAACAATGAGGAAAGTAACTAAGACAGTGCCCCCTTGGCAGCTCCAGTACCTGACACTTGATGGCCCTGAAGCAGCTTGAGGTGGTGACCCTTCCCTCGAATTTCTAGATCCTGATGACCTCTTTCCTTTTGCCCCTCCACCCTTAAGACTGCTTCCTGTATTTAGGTCTCACCACTCCCATTTAGATGTTCCGACAGCCAAGAACCCATATGCTGAGTGAAATATCCTCTGCTTGAAACACCCAGTATGATTTCAGTTTTTCTGATAGACTTTGAAAGATGCATAATGTAATGGGCTGAATACATTTAAACTGCCCAGCAAATAATCCCCTTCCCTAAGGGATTCTACTAGGCTGTGTTAAAAAAGAATATGTAACAAGAGTAAAGACATAGTAGTTTATTTCTGAAATCATTATTTCTTTTCAGAGTTCTTGAGATTTTGCCGTAGGCTCTAAGTATCCCACAAATACACTGATTCTCAGCCTCAGATACAAATCTGTATCAACTGTAAAATCCTCCAACACAGAGATGTTCAGGCTTATCAAGCACCTGAGTATCAAGGGACAAGACTGACCTAGGTGCATTTTGAATAAGTTCTTCAGGTAATTGTTCTTTGTGCTAAAGTTTGAGGACCTCCAGCTTAGATATTCAGAACATGACGGATGAATGCATGTGAGTTCTGAATGTGTCACAGGTGGTACAATGTCACTTGTTTATTGGTATCTCAATACATGCTATTTAACACGATGTTGACACTTTATGCCAATTATCGGTTGAAAGTCCCTTGTTTCAATGACATCACCTTCAGGCCAACTTTGAGCTGATGGCCAACCTTGAGCTGATTGCCTACCATGGACCTAAACATTTCATGGCTCCATTTCAGATGTAAGGGGTAGAACAAACTCCCCTGCACGGTAAGTGGCAGAATCAATGATTACTTTTGATATTAGGGGAAGCACCAAGGAAAATTGGCTTCCTAACACTAAAGCCTGCCCCACCTGAGGAAAATCCAAACCTCAAAATGGTGGCCTCAAAGGGAAGACAGAAAGGAGATGCCACACTGAGCATAGCTTCTGTTCTCTTGGCTACTCATACCTAGTTTTTCCATTCTTCTTTCTCCACTGACCTGCATTGAGGAAGGCCTCAGACCCCTAACAGTATCACTCCTTCCAGTTCTTATTTCTCTCATTCACCTCCCATACCAATGTTCCTAGATCCACATCAGAAGTTTGCAAAGAGCCCATGAATGCTGAAGGAGTCTTCGTCTTCACAAGAGAAACCAGGAACTAGGTTGTCATGAAATCTTCTGCAAGTATTGTTTTACCAATGAGGCAGAGTCTCCATAGTGAGCTTCTAAATTCCATCTCAACCAAGAAACCAGCGACACCATCAAGTGTAAGGGAAGAGGGAAGAGACTGGGAGGGACGAGTAGAGATGCTGGGTGACTGAGAAAGAATAAGACTGACTATTCTTTGAACAAATGAATGAGGGCTAACACATCCAAATAGTACTCTTTTTTCCATGTTGCCATGACTCACAACATTTTCAATCCATCCCTAGAGCCTGTTGGATGATTCAAAAACACACCCCGCCCCCAGCCTCCAGTCCTCCTCTGTGAGTGGATTTGAGTTCTGGAAACAACTGAAACCATTTGTGAGTAAATATGAGAAAGCTGAGAAACACTATTATTTGGTCAAACCACTCTAGCCAGAGGAAACCAGGAATGGAAGAGAATATAAACCTAACTGCAAACATCATTTTCAAAGAGATATTTCAAGCACTAAGATACTGTATAGAAGAAGACTTCCAACGTGACTATTTTAAAGGAAAGATTTCATTCTGTGTGGATAGAACAAATATATACAGATTTTTTAAAAATCTGTATAACTTCATAATGCTACACTCACAGAAGCTGTCCTCAATTCTCTCTCTACATATGAACCCTGCCTGTCCAGGGTGTCTTCCTTGCCTATCATGGCGAAAAGCAATGAGCTTGTCTGAAAAAGGGGTAAACTTGGAGAAAACATTGTCGTGCTCAAAATCCACGTCTCAACTACTTATTCTCTCTCCAATGCTGAGCAAGTTGCTTAAGCTCCCTGAGCTTTGGTTTTCTTATCTGTGTGATGAGCATAAAGCACAATACCATCCTTCTGCACTGAGCCATGGGATGCATGACAAAAAACACGTCCTTAGGTGATTTAATTATCTTTGCATTGGGGAATACAGTGTCCCGCATACCCTAGATAACAAGTTTGCCCTTCAAGAACCAACACTTTTGCCCAAAATTGTGATCATTTGGGAGGAAAGAGGTCATGCTAAAACATGCTGTCCACCTCTCTATTTTTAAAAATAAGTGACATGATTTACCCTTTTAGTTATAATTTAGGGCCGTCCTTACAAGCATCAGGTGCAGCGTGGAGGGCCTACCTTTTGGGTTTTCTTCTTTCTCCTTCCTTGATGTTAGGCACTGTCTGCATATGATGTTGAAAAGCCACACATTTATCAACCTTGGGAACAAATAGACACCCAAACCCACCAATGTTCATGATGGTGACCACATTCTGGCAAGGCACGTGGGTTCTTCGGTAGGCAGACCTAGAGCAAGACTCTGCTTCAGCCATGTAACCCTGAGCAGATTACTGTACTGAACCTCAGCCCCCTCACCTCATCGATACCCCCCCCCCGTAGGGGAGTTGTGAGTCCTCAGCAGGGAAAAAGATGTCAAATGCTTAGCATACCGCCGTTAAGAAAGCAAATGCAAAATAAAAAATAATAAATAAATAAATAAATAAAAGCAAATGCAAATGCCCAGTAAACACGATCTGCTGTTATTATTACTATTATCACTAACAAGCAGGAATCACTGAGGTCCTTATGACATCATGCATGAACAGCCATCTCTGTAGGTCTTTTGTGTCTGTCTGTTAAAGAAAGCTGACAGAAAGCCTTCTCTATTTCTTCTCCCCAGATGTAATGAATGCTCGGATAATTGGAGCCAAAGGAGAACTTGTAAACGTCCTGCCAAAAGCCAAGCCACTCATTCTCTGAGAGTCAAGTTTCTTATCTAGCCCAAACAGCCCCGTGCATGAGCCATCCCTGCACCTCTGTGAGTTGTGCAAAGGGAGACACCAAGAGCAGCAATGGGTCCCAGGAGCGAACACCTCAGATCCTCAGGGCAGAAGGGCAAAGCTGGAAGTCCCAGAGTCTCTTCTTACCTGGCACCACTCCTGGCGATAAATAGAAACATGCTGCGTGCCTAGTGACGGGGCCGTGGAGACCTGATGAGGATGCCGGAGCTTGCACGGCTCTGGGAATGGCGTTCTTCTGTGCGTGTGTCCCGCAGGGAGTCAATTAACATCCTCAGAGGTGTACCATTCTGGCTGTGTCACCCCTAGAGGATATAATTTAAGCGGAGGCGACAACAGCTGCAGCCTCGGTCACCTCTGGATTGGAAGTCTAGGTGAGGCCTGGCCCTGCACTTCATTATGCACAAGCACCATTAAGAAGCCAACCGTGGGCACTTGAAGCAGCGGCAAGCATTTCACTGAGCTCCAGCCTTCGTGCCATCTTCACAACTAGCACAAGCTTCTCCCGGGGACTGACTCCAGCGACATTCCCAAGTCCCAAGACAAGTGCCAAATTGGAGTCTATGGCAATTTTAAATTTTTTGTGTCTCCAGGTCAGTTCTCCCTCCACCAAACTTTCATACCCTCCACTTACACACCCTCCAGAGGCTGTGACCCATGAGAGACCAAGGCAGGAGGATGCTGTCCTTCCCATGACCAGCCTCAGAAGTCCCATCAGATCACCTCTGAGACCTTCTATTCCTTGGAAGGGAATTGGTCACTTGGCTCTGCTCATGGCTTACATGCTGTTGGGGGGATTCGCTGCACTTTTAGAGAAAGTAGTGTCACAGAACTTGTGAACACATTTTAAAACCACCACAGACATTTAGGGGTGCATCACTACTCATTCAACACATGTTTACTGGGTACCTACTGTGTGCACATTGCTCTAGATGCTTGGAATGCATCCTGGACCAAGCAGAAAATAAGTCCCTTCCTGCCATTGTGGAGTTGAGTTTTGGTGGAGAGAGACAGAAAACAAACAATGAGCATAGTAAGTACACTTTAGCGTGTTCAGATTGAGGTGCTGGGAATAGGGCAGACAGAGGAGCAGAGCTCAGGAATCCTAGAGTCAGATTCCATTTTAAATGGGGTCTTTATCTTCAGATCTTCAGAGTTGCCTTCCTCGAGAAGGTGGGCAACTAGCAGGAGATGCTTTGGGGCAGTCATTGGGCCATGTTGTGTCAAAAGTGCATGGAGCTCTGCTGTGCCTTCTGAGCTCTGGTAATTGCTCCCACATTCCTTGACAGATATCTATGGGGAGAGAAGTTTCACAGCCTCCCATAAAAACTTCCAGCCTTCTCCACTTAAGTCACACCTCAGGTAGCTCCAGGTAGCCCTGTGTCTACAATGCAGTACACCCAAGCAACACACTCAGCCCCAAAGAGGTCATAGTTGGAGAAGCAGCAGTGTTACAACACTGAATGTATACTTTAATGTTTAATTCAATCATGGCGTGCCTGCAACTGGAGGTGAGCTCCAGAGCACACCCCTATAGGATCTGCCGTGCCCAGGGCATTAGAGAGGTTGGAGATCTCTGAATGGGGAATTGGAAAAAGATTTTCCAGACATAATACAGCCTACAGGAGTCAGCAGACTGCTAGACATGAGGAGTCTTGCAAGAAACTTGCTGATTTTGGGGGGGTTTTGGTTTTGGTTTTTGAGGCAGGATCTTGCTATGTAGTTCGGGCTGGGCTTGAACTCACTATGTAGCCCAGGCTGCCCTCAAACTCACAGCAATCCTCCTGTCTCAGCCTCTTGAGTGCTGGGACTATAGGTGTATGCCACCATGGCTAGCAACTTACTGATTTTGACCAGGGCCTTGGGAGCTAGGGATGAAGAAATATAGCTTAGACTCCAGGGTAAGGATTAGACATAGCAGCCACTTCTAATCTAGCTGTCCAGGCACAGCTGGTGAGGCCCCAGGCAGGCTGGAAGGAGGGGGAAAAGGGCCCAGGCCAGGGTGAGAACACAGAGGTGGGCAGGCTGTGCAGCACTGGCTGCAGGGGCTGAGGGCAGCGGGGCACATAGCAGGAGATGGTGCCCTGCCGTGGTCACCCAGCCAGCCCGGAGCACCTCTGCCAGAGATGGCAGTGATAGGAAACCGAGAAAATTTAACTCTTGGAGGTACTGTGGCACCAGGAGCCCGCCATGAGTGACCAGCAATCTCCAGGACGGCTGACAGGGATGGGACTGGAAGGAGCACCTTGTGAGGCAGAGTCAGCTTCTACAGCTGTGTTTGGAGTTTGGGGAGCCTCAGAAGCCCAGCCCCTTCCTTAAGGGGGCAGGCACATCTGGGTTTGTGTCCTGGAAATACCATTGCCTAGCAGAGTCTTGGAGAAGTCTCTATCTTCTCTTCAGCCTCAGTTTCCTCGCTTGTCAAAGGGGAGAACAATGCCTTCCTCACAGACCTGGTAAGAAAAGAATTGAGATAAAAGACTTAACACATGCCCTACTCCCTAGGAAATAGTCAGCAAACAGCTGCTATTTTTATTGTTGCTATTTTTACAAATGTGGTGGACAGCTGCTTGGTTTGGTTTGTTTGGTTTTGTTGCCCAGCATTACTTCTTCCTTGGAGAAACTGGCCCCCATCCGCCCACATGGTCCTGGTGCTGGGCTAATCTGAAGACCTGGACCGCTGCTGACAAGGACTAGGCAAGTGACCAAGTTGGGCCAATCCACTTCTCTCTCCCAGGGAATGGAAGCCCAAACACAGACAGACAGGAAGTTGGTTCCCACTGAGTCACCCTGTAACATGCAATTCCACACCGAGTTCCCAGAGTCTGGTATCTGCTGTCATCCTTCCCTCCCAGGGTCTGGTATCCAACTCACTTTTCCACTGCTGGGGTGGGTCTAGTATCCCCTAATGAGCCCCTCATTAGCTTAAGTCAGGCAGAGTCATTTTTTCATTGTTTTTAGCCAAGAATCCCTGCCTGACAAAGCATCCACAGGCTGTGACAGCTCTAGAGAGACAGCTGAGAGGAGCTAAGGAGACCCAGAAGGTAGGAATGAGGATGGGAAATCTCCCTCTTCACCTCAGGCTATCGGGAGGGCTTCTCTGCCACTCTGTCTTTCTTTTTATTATTATTCAAAACTTTCATCATGGTAATATATGTATTTAATTTTCAGTGTCAAATAGTTAATAAATAAAATTGGGACAACTGGGTAGCCATCTAGGAAAAAGGAAGCTGGGCCAATTTATGAGGATATATTCTAAATTGATCAAAAATTCAAATGTAGAAAAGTGAAATCTTAAAGCCACTAAAAGAAAATATGAAAACACAGATGAATTACTTTGTAACCTTTGAGTGGCATGGTCATTATAATTATGACCCAGAATCTATAGAAGAAAATATTTATAAATGTTGCTATATATGATCAAAGGTTTACCAGAAAATAACAGCTACGACAAATGACAAATTTTTAAAATGCAACACAAAGAATTAATTTCCCTAAAATATAAAGAGTTCCTAGAAATCAACAAGAAAACCACTTTTTTAAAAAACCAGTAGGAATGTGGGTAAAGAACATAATCAGAATCCAGAGAAAAAGAAATATAAATGGCTCTTAAATATGCAAGAGATTCTTAACATCACTTTTAATAAGAACAGAAAGGTATCTTTTACTCATTAGATTGACAAAAATTCAAGTTTAACAACATATTTTTCTGATGAGGCTATAGAAAAATAATCACTCTCACACAAATCTGGTGGGAGAATAAGATGATATAGTCCTATGAAGAACAATTAAGCTTTACCTATCAAAAATATAGATGGATTTATTCTTTGACACTGCCTGGCTCCCAGGCCTTCTGGGAGAAGAAGCCTCCCTGATCCCACAACTCTTGGGTTCTTTGTGCTTGTAAAACTAGCACCGTGTGGATGACACCAAGGCCTACTGCCTGATTGAGCGGTAGCCAGGCCCTTTTGCATCATGTCTAAAGAGGCCTCCAAGTGCCTTTGGAAATTTATCCTACTACTGTATCTACACACAAGTAAAATTATTTATGTATGAGTAAGGTTATTCCTTTCAGGATTGTTGGTGTTTAGTAGAATATTGGAAACACCCCAACAGACTAGTTTTCTAAGGAAATAAAATCAGACTATTTAAATTTTTGAAATAACCCATCCCCAGCTCTACTCCATCTCCATCCTCATTTCTTGATTTTCAATTTAAGCATCATCTATTGACTTCCTACTACAAAAGAAAAATACTTAGCTTTACTATATATGCCCCTCTCCTCCAAAATGGTTACAGTATAATTTCAGTTAAAGTAATATCCAGTATTTTGAGCATTAGGACTATTCTACTAACATTTATAATTGAGACACATAGTATATCATTATTACAATTTTTTTCTTGAATGTTTTTTATTTTTCCTGGACTCAATGATAGCCTTGCTTTTCATTTGTCAATTTTAAATGCATTTATTAAAAACACATCCTTTAGGGCCAGGGATTTAGCTCAGTGGTTTCGCCACCTGCTGCACAAGTGCAAGGACCCAAGTTCGATCCCCGGTACCAAAAAAAAAAAAAATCCTTGAAAATCCCTACATATTATATAGTATCATACATGTCAATCACCTATCAATTTTTCATCTTTTTCTCCCTAGAAATATTGCTATGAAAATCCTTATGCGCTTGATCTTCTATACACTCGCTTCTTTCTAAGACTTCCTTGATAGCTACCATCTTAAAATGTGTCCTTACTGAGAGAGAGAGAAGTGCTGAGAATTTCTATGCTTACCGTATCACATGTATTTAATTATCTATGGCCTGGATCCCAAGTCTCCTTGATTTACTTATTCATTTTGGTAAAATATATCCTCTAGTAGCTTCTTAAGAACAATGCCTATAAACAATAATGAGACTGTGCATATCTCCAAATGTTGTCATTTTACCCTTACATTTGTTATTACTTCGGTCATACATACCAATTTGGAAATATTTTCCTAAATGCTCCATTTTCTTGCAACACCAGTGTTGCTTTTGAGAAGTCCGGTGCCATTCTATTCCTGTTCCTTTGTTGTGGCCTATTTTTTCTCTTGGTAGCTCTCTCCAGAATCATCTCTTGATTTCTGATATTTTGAAACTTCATGATGATCTACCTTGATATGAAGTTTTTATGTTGTTATTATTAGTTATTTATTGGGTTTGGGAACTCTATAGAATCTTTTTTTCTTGACTTGCATGTCTTTCAATTTTGAAAACATTTCTTGAATTATTTCTTTGATAATTCCCTCCCATCAGTTTTCTTTAGTCTCTCTTTCTGAATATACTACCAGTTGAACATGGAACACCTGAATCAATTCTGTCAGTATTATATTGTTTTTCTCCTACTTTCCAAATCTCTCTTTTATTTACTACTTTCTATGAGAGTCCACTAACTTTAACTTCTAACACTTATCTTGAGTGTTTCTATTATTGTACTTTTAAATTCGAAGAGCTCTTTCTTATTCTGATTTTTATAGGATCTGGTTCATATTACATAAATTGATAGCCCTTTTGATCTTTTTTGCTCCTTAATGATTTTCTGCTTCCTCCAAGTTCCTTCTTTTTTATTTCTATCTTTTGTGTAATCAAGTCATCAGCCTCCAACCAGTCTTAAATGTTGAAGTCTTTCAATTCCTAAATCCAGTCTCTCTTGGGTTTTTCATACTGTTGATTTTCTAAGATAACTACCAAAGCAATATAAGGATATGTTCTCATTGCCAAAGATCCAGACAATAGAAAAGTGTACTGAGAAAAATATAAAAGTCCCCACTCACTCCCACTCCTGTTCCCAAAAGTAACCAGTGACATCAGTTCCAAGTGCCAAGACGGCTTTCTACCACATGGACCAACTCCTCCTGAGTTAATGGAGATGTAATAATTGGCTTTCATGTGCATGTCTCTCTCTGTTTTAATTTGTTCATTTGAGCTTTAAGAGTTATTTAATATTTGGATTACTCAATATTAGATGTATATTAGAACATCACATTAAAATCCAGATTCCCAAACTCACTTTTAAAATTTGGGAAGTCTGGCAGCCCAAGACCCATATACCCATATTATGAAAAGACATCTTTTCTACAGTTCCCTTGGTCCCCATTTCACATGGCTGACTTAGATTACTTGCCTGGCTCCTATAAGCTTGAAATAGGTGGCTTCTGGGACCATGCGTTAGTGGTATGTACTCCAGAAATTATAACACACCCACTACTAATAACAGATTAGTCTACTAGATCACAGGAAGCTCTTCCAGATAGGAGCACGAGAAAAGGGAAAACCCTCTTTCAGAGGGACATAGAAAATAGTAGACTGTGGGAGACAGGACCCTCGGTCAGTGAGACAGTGGGACCTGGAAGACAGGAAGACCTCACTGGCTACAGATGGAAATTGGCCCCCTGACTTTCCTAAGTAATATTTATCCTATTGGTCTTCCCAAACATAAATTCCATAACAGTGAGACCTGCTTTCTGACTTCTGGTTATGTTATAGTCACTTTTTCATTGCTAGGGCACAATACCCAACACCCACAACTTAAAGGAGGAAAAGTTTATTTTGGCTCATGTTTCAGTCCAGTCCAGGGAGTAAATTCCTCAGGTGGCCTTTCTTGAGCAACAGTATCCTGGGGTTCTCTTTTCAAAGCAAAGCTTTCACTTTTGCAAGGCAAAGGGCAGGGTCTTGCTATTGTCTTGACTCAAAATCTTTTCAGCAACCATGCTTTCCTTTGCTCCAACTTTGCGAGGATTTCCTTTCTGGTGAAAGTTAAAAGTTTTTAGATCATTCAACTGTGCTGTTTTACTATTTATTCTAAGGTAGAGATACCTAAAAGCTGCCAATAGTACCCATGCCACAGCCTCAACATTAAGCTTTCTTGGAATTTCCTCTGCTAGATTAATTAGTCCACTGCCCTTAATCTCAGTCTTCCTCAAAGTCTCAGGACATGAGCAAAATTTGACAACTTTTCCACACATGGTCTGGAGTCCAACAGCCAATGGAGTCCTTGATCTCAACGGAAACCTTTTGAGCCTGGTCATTACGTCTACATTACTGTCACCATTCTGGTCTTCTGATCTCTGACCAGAGTCTCCCCTTAAGCTAGGCTTACAGCATTCTGAGGCTGCTTCTCCAGTCAGCATCTTTCAACCTTTCTAAAGTCTTCCTAAGCACCACTTCCAAAGGCTTCTGAACCACATGGTCAGATACAGTCACAGCAACAATCTCACTTCTCTGGTAACAAAGTCTGTCTTAGTCACTTTTTCACTGCTGGCACAAAATGCCTGACATGTGTAACCTAAAGGAGGAGAGGTTTATTTTGGCTCATGTTTTAGTCCATAGTTGGATTGCTCCAAGGAAGTAAAGCATGGCAGAGGGATGGAGCAGAAGAGCACTGCTCATGGCATGATGGACAGGAAGCAGAGAGAGTCAAGGAGCTGGGCAGGGAGATAAATCCCTCCAGGCCATAACTTACTGACTCACCTCTTCCAACCAGACCCCACCATCCAACAGCAAGTCAGCTGTAAGTCCCCAAAATCCAATCACCTTCCCAAAGCCCCACCTATGATCACATGAGACTTTAAGGGAAACCACAACAGGGTAGAAAAACAGGTAGAAAAAGGCAGGTGAGGCAAGATGCAGCAGAGAAGTTGACCTGCTCTAAGGATAAGACAGTTGTGTGAGCTCTGTGTAACCATGGCCACTGCGTCATGAAAGGTTGCTGATTACCAAGGCTGACTCACTGCCACTTTCTCCCCACTCAGGGACAGGACCCAGTTCATCTGTTTGTTCCTGAGCAACGTTCCTTGCAATGTCCTTTGTGCATCAAATGCAAGCAGGTTTCGGTACATAGAGCTCTGCTATCTCCAAAGGAGTCTTCTATCTTATTTAACTTGGTAAATGGCCACAAACCCACTCGTCCAACACAAATCACAATTTAATTCCAGATGAATGCTAATGAACACAGGTTTCATGAATTTTAATATTGAAAAGGGTTAAGGGCATCTGTTAAAATTATTTCTGTGGGCAGGTAGTTTGTTGTCAGGATACATTATGTATTTGTCAGAGGGAAAGAACATCTCTGGCCCATTTAATTTATTAATATTCAGATAAATATTTCTCTTAGTGCCTGGGTTGGTTTGAGGGAAAGCGGCCCAGCAGAGCTCACCGTTTGTTTCAGGTGCTCGTAGAAAAGCCAGAGCAAAGGCCTACACCACCGCCAGCCCTCTGGGGACACTTTCCATAGCTGAGTGACATGCCCGGGTTGTGGCCACTGCCCCCTCCACTCCCCACCTCCAAACTTTCTCCCCTTTGCCTGCCAGCCTCCCTCCCAAAGGTCCTAGGAAGAGTGCCCAGTTGGCCCTCAGCTCGGAAACCTGTACAGAGATCTCTGAAACAAGATTGCCAGCACGGTTCATGCTTCTTTTGCTCCCAGCAGACAAGCCTTTCCTCCACTAAACTGCCTCACTAAACTGTACTTGGGCAATGAAAGGGCTGTCTCTCTCGGGTGAAACTTTTTTCCTAAGCAGAAGTACGGGAGCATTTAATGGGGAGTGCAGGGAAGGAGTCAGGCTCTCTCCATGGAAACTATCTTAGGATGCAGCCAAGCAGAAAAGAAAAGAAGGGAGGTAAGGAGACAAACTGTATGACATTTCTCTTTCTTCTATCCTCTGTTAGATTTATTCCTGCCCTTACTTTTATCTAATACTGCTATCATAATTTCTCTTGTTTGCTTCCCATTATTGTGTAAAAAAAATGGAATTCTGCACCATGATTGAATCTAAACACTAAAATCATTTAAGATACACTACCCCTGGGACAGCTAGCAAAAGGTAATAAGTTTCTCCAAATGTGACCTAATTATAACTGTCCTTTTAAGTTTTATTTCTCACTGGGACAAAACATCTGAGGTTAAAAATATTTCTTGAAACAGATCCATGTTGCCACAAAATTTTACAGAGTCACTTAAATGTTATCCATCTTCCTGATGTATTTTTCTCCTCTGTTCCCGTGTGATAAAAGCCAGACAGGCCAGAGAGACAGGAAGCCGGGCCACACTTGAGCAGGAACAGGCCTGCCCAGGTTTTCTCACGCCAGGCCACACCTATCATCTGACTAGGCGACAGGTCACCACGAGGTCACCACAGGTTCCTGGATGCTCCGGACACTGGGGACCCCACACAATCCGTCGACTCCTAGCTGAGCCTCGGATGCTCGATGGTCAGCACCCTGACCTGCCCTCCCCATTCCCCATGAACCACTGGCCTTAGTGGTCTGAGCTGGGTGCCACGAGTACTTGGGGCTGCTCATGCTTGGCTCTCCCTCCACCTCCACGGTTCCATGTTCACTCTCTCCTCCTAATGTCCCCTGCAGTGAATCTCCTCTAAAGCCAATCTTGTTTTCTGAACAGAAAAAGCCCACTGTCAGACTGGCCAGCATCCCTTGCTTTATGTGCACTGACTTGGCTAGTCCTGGCTCCTCTCTGGGCCGTTCTCTAAGGACACTTTCAGAGTGGTTTCCTTTCCAGTTTCTCCATTTTACTGTCTCCTTAAAGGAGCAGTGTGTGTGGAGTTTCCTTCTGACCTGAGGACACATGTGCTGAGGCTGTGCGCTGAATGCCCGCCTGTGTTCTGAAGTCAGACTCATCTAGGTTCCACCAGCAGGCTGGCTTCTAAGCTGCAGCTTCCTCATCTGTAAAATGAGAGTGATAAAGGAGTAACTTCATAATATTGAAGACTAAAATAGCGGTAAAGAAAGCCAAGCACGCCACACAGCCTGGTATGTGGAAAGCACTCAGCGAGCTATTATTATGAAGCTAAGATAATGCCATTAGTACAGAAGACAGTATTTCTGGTTGGCAGAGGATGCCAGGAGGATTCAAGCCAAAGATGGCTAGAAACTGAATAAACTTAGTCTTCTAGAAGCTCTTCCCTCCTGGTTCCAACTTGTAAGAGAAGCAAACAGCTATGAAAGAGGGAAGCTGGAGCCAGGATCATACCCAGGAGACTCTGATGAGAACCCACAAGCAAAAACATGCCATTCCCAAGACTTTTTCCAAGTGAAAAGGTGAAGCTGCATTTAAAAATGAGCTAATACAATTTAAATTTAATTCCAGATATGCAAACTTGTTCTGAGTGATGCCTGTGCACCTCTACTCAGGTTGGGCATGGGGGCACCAGTTGTTCAGAGTTGGATTTGAAACGCCAAGTCTGCTGTTGAGAGTTTTTGTACAATGATATAGACAGCCGTCAAGTGCTCCCTACCCAGCCACGCTAAAAAGCACTGCGGGCTTCTACCCAGAGAGACAAGAAGAGAACACTGCTGGTGGGAAGGGGTGATCAGGAAAACAGGGATAAAAGCCACAGCACATCTGTATCACTCACCTGCTGCTTTCTCACCCTGCACCAGGTGCTGTGAGGTCTGGAGGCAGAGGAGATCTCATCGCCACACAGAGCATCCGGAAGCTTTTCTAGCATGTACTACAAAAAAGATGGCTGATTCAGTGCATCATTATAAAGTTTGTATGTAAAACAAACATGAGAATGTAAAAACCTGCCACTAATATTGATAATCATAAAGTACACAAATACATTCTCAAAGAACCCCTGAAAAGATCCTGTGTCCACATCTTCACCCTTCCTGTTTCTGCTAACGCGTCTTGTTGGATTTAGGGCCCAAGTGGGTAATTTATGACAATCTCATCTCAAGATCTTTAACTTAATTACACCTGAAAAGAGACTTTTTTTTTCAAATAATGTGACATTCACTGGTTGTGGGGATAGAATATGAACAGGAATTTTGTTTTTGTTTTTGTGTTTTTTTGGTATCAGGGATCGAAATCAGGACCTTCCGCTTTCGAGGCAGGCACTGGAACCACTGAGCTAAATCCCCAGCCCATGAACAGGAATTTTGGGGCCCGCTCAACTCACTATATCTGGCACATAAGCAACTTACTCTCAAATTCTGGTCCCAGGGTTTCATTCTAAACAAAGCAGGCAGGAAAAGAAACCCCACAAACCAGTCCTCAGTTACGATACCACGAGCATAACTAGGCTTTTGCCACCTCTCATAGAAAAGACACCAAAGCAGTAGCTCACAAAGCGAAGCCACCTTGGGTGCCGTGCCGGTTGACATCACAGCATCCCCAGGGTCTAGCACCAGTGACTGGCACACAGCCAGCAGCTAGGAAGGATACTTGGTGAATGAACAGAGTTGAACCACCAGAACCCTCAGTGGAAAAAGTAAACCTTGATTTTTTTTTGAACTTTCTTTTACAGCTTTATTGACACATAACTTACATGCAATAAACTTCACCTATCACAATTTCCAATGCCGAGACTTTTAGTAAATTTTTAAACAGGTGCAATCTTCCCCATAATCCAGATTTAGAACATTTCCATCACCCCCAAAAGTTCCCTCCTGTCCATTTGCAATCTGCACTTTCACCCCAGTCCCAGGCAGTCCCCAGTCTGTTTACCATCTATACAGGCTTGCCCCCTCTAGGCCTTTCACGCAAAGGAAATCATATAATATGTAGTCTTTTGCTGCTGGTCTCTTCACAAACCACATATCTGAGTTCTGACCTGGTCGTGCTGCAGGGTGTATCAGTAGTTGTTCTTTACTGCTGAGCTGTTCCTATTGCGTGGCAGTTCCATGAATCCATTAACAAGCAATGGGCATTTGGATGGCCGCCTGTGTGGGCTACTAAGAACAATGTTGCTATAAACATTCAGTCTGTGTGAGGTCATATATTTTCATTTCTCTTGAGTAGATACCTAATGGAACTTTTCATTCTGAAAATTTTTTAAGTTATTTATTTTGGTACCGGGGACTGAACCCAGGGCCTTTGCATTGAGCTACATCCTCAGCTCTTTTTTATTTTTTATTTTAAAACAAGGTCTCACTAAGTTGCCCAGGTTGCCTATGCTGGGCTTGAGCTTGCAACCCTCCTGTCTCAGCCTCCTAGAGAGCTGAAATTACAGGCGTGCTCCACCATGCCCAGCTAAAAATTTCTAAATCTATATAAAAACTGAAAGAATAGTACCTTAAAAACCCTTTACCTTAGTTCCTCAATTGGTAGCATCTTGCCATATTTGCTTTATCTCCCTCTGTATAAAATATTTTTGTGAACTATTTAAAAGAAAGTTGTAGACACCATGACATATCATCCCAAATCTGTCACCCCTTAGATATAAGGCTATTCTCCTACATAATCACAATGCCACTATCATAACCAAGACTGTTTTCCAAATTCATTTTGAGATTTTTCAAAAGGCAGAAGAGTTGACAGTATGGCACCCAAAGGGCACTCGACCATGAGGGAACTTCTGACTGCTGTGACCCCTCCTCCTGGGGTCCTTCCTCTCACTGCCGCTGCTCCTAGAACATCTGTGTGGACTCACACCCTGGTGCACAGCCTGGAATCCCCCAGACTCATTACACTCTGTCTCCTGCCTGTCCCCAGAGTTTTTAGCATTTGTTTTGCGAGACTTGGAGGTGCCTCTAGTACCTTGTCCTGAAGGCCATTACAGACTTCTCAGTACTTCCCTCCTGTCAGCTCTGCTCAGTGCTGCTTACTTGGCCATCTTCTTTCCCTCACCCATATTTTCTGCTCCTCACTCTGCCATTTTCCTCCCTCAAGGCACTTCCCACCACCTAATACAAGATGTACTGCAATTCATGCATTTGTCAGTTGGCTACCTCTCTCCGAAGGCAAAGATGTTGTGTTTTGGGTTCACTGCTGTGTCCCCAGGCTGGAGAACTGTGCCTGCTACGTGGCGTGCTCAGTAAATCCAAGCAGAAGGAATGAATAGATGACACCATGTGGATGAGTGGCATCACCCCATAGCCCTTCAGGGGCAGCAGGAGTGGACTGACCCTGAGCTAAACACCTCCCAGGAGATGTGAGGAAGGACTTCAGTTAACATTCTCCACACCAAGTGGGAGGCTTGGGAAAACCAACTCTAAAAACTGCAAAATGACTCCTCCCCCTCTTCAGTAGAAGAGACCAGAAATTTCCAAATAGGAAGTCTCCTAATACTTTTCTGAACAAAGTTTTTTTTGTTTTTTGTTTTTTGGTTTTGCCTCAGAGAACAAGCAAGATCAAGTAACTCTCCAAGCATCACAGAACCCTGGAAATCAGCCAGCCCTGAATTTCCTGGAGGAGCCAAAGACCACACCTGTGCTGTCCCTAAAAGGCCCTTCCCGGAAGGCAGCACCTTCTGCCCTGGCACTCGGCCAGCACCGGACAGCTCTTCCTTCCCTGCCAGCCCTGGGTCTGGAGAGGTGGGACATACCTGGCCGGGCCCGGGGACCCATGGGGATGGGCACTGCCTACTCTTGAGAGCCTGGGTTAGGAACTGGAGAGGGGAGAGGGGGAGATGCTAACAGGAAGCAGAAACAGAAACCTTGAGTCAGACTCCAAGAACCTGTGAGCCAGCAGGAGTTATGAGGAAGCATGAAGTAGTCAGAGCTCTGAAACAAATGCAAGCCCTTCAAAGAACAGCAAGAGGGCAAAGAATGAAATTCACAAATCCCTGTCTGAAGTCCCTCGAGCTGCTCTGGATTCAGGGTGATATTTGGTTCCAGTCTCTTAGAACCCTGGCCAGTCCACAGATACTGTTTTCTAGAAGTTTTCATTACCCTCCCTGCTTGGTGATTTCTTCACCACAAACCTCATCCTTTGAACTAGGATGAGTGACTTTATATTCCCTGCAACCCACAGAATCTAAGTAAAATAGAAACACGTGAATGTTTGTGGTATACAAGAGACTGTGGGGAAAGATGAAATTCCTGGAGGGGCTTCCTACTCTCTCCAGGCTTACTGCTTCCACCACAGCTCCACAGCCTTGCTGCCCACCAGCGTGGCCATCCCAGGGGACAGATCAAAGTGAGGACTCTGCAGCCCCACCTCAGACTCCTCAGCCCAGGCAAATCACATGAATAGGAAAGTTTGAGATCCACTACTTCCTCCCCTCAGAAATAGTCCCGAAGCCATTGGCCCAGTCACCTTTTTCCTCCTGGACTCCCACACCCCCCAGATTCGATAACACACGTCAATCATTCAATGGGTACCAAAGTTAATGGCAAAGGTCTTTGCCTGTAAAAGGCAGGATTCTCAAAGCTCCTCTTTCTCTCCTCTTCGGGTGTCTCTCATTAGATGCTGTTTGCAATGCTATTGTGAATGCTTGCCCCCCCTTTTTTCCAGAGGTTCATCCTGTTTAGCGAAAATCCTGTTGCGTAAACCCAAGGCTTGAGACTGTTCCCCTGCCCTGTTCCTTACCACGGGCAGCCTTTCCTGATGAGCCTGTGGACTGCCCTCCTGCACCATTCCCTCGCCTTCAGAGTGTGCTTTCAGGTTACAGCTTGTTTTCATCTCAAACACTGAAGAAAGAAAAAAATCCTTCAAACGATGAAGCACCAAGAAATAAACTGCAACTGTTTGTCCAGGGAGGATTCGTGTTTCTGGCTCTGAGACTAACTGTCCTCAAGTGTCCACTGCGTGGGTCGCTTGCCACTCCAGGGTCAGTCACACCCACCTGCATGTCTGAGCCTGCCTGGGGTCCTGAGGAGGATCTGAAACAAAAGAAAGCCTTTCGGACACCACCTTCTGATTTTTCCTTCCTGTCCTCCCTGAGCTCCTCCTTCCACTTTCCATCTTCCTTGATCCATCTCTCTTTCCTTCCAGTAGGGGCCATCGAGCACTGATGATGGACCACACACTGAGCAGGGCCTGGAGATGCAGCCACAAGGCAGGCACATGCTGGGTCACAAGAGAGGACAGACACAGGCCCCAGCTCAGGGAGGACTGCGACATCCATCATCAGCGGAATTGCTTCAATTCTAAGCGCTACGGAGACAAGCTGCCGGGTGACACAAAAGTGCGTATGAGTAGTGGGAGCCAGACAAAGAAAGGAGAGTGTCTCTCCTCCCATGCCTGGTTCTTGGGCTGCCCATGGGGTGCCCTGGTTTCAGTCTGGCACTTCCAACTGGCTTTGCCCCCTGCCTGCAGCGGGGACAGCTCTGCAGCTCAGGCTTGGACACTCGCCTCTGTCCTCATCTGTCTGACCTTGGCCTGGACTATTTTCTACCCCACTTCCCCCAAATCTGCGTTGACAGCCCACAGAGTTTCCACGCAGGTGGGTGGCAAGTGATGGCATCACTTTCCTCTTAGTTTCTTAGAAAGCATTTTCCTTCCCAGCAAATCCCATTTGGTTCCGGGACCGGGACATTTGCCGGTCTCCGTGCGGGCTTCAGTGCTCACACAGGCGGCCATTTATCTCCAATACAATACAGCTGCATCTTCTCACTGCCGAGGACACCTCCTGGTCCCCAGTGGCTCGGCCGGCAGCACCGTTCTGCTGGGTCAGGGCAGGTTGCATCTTGCAGCTGCCTCTCCTGGCCGGCTGAAACTGCAGTGCGCAGCGGTTCCCACACCCTTCTCCAAGCAGGTTACACGGGGAGCTGAGGCGACCCCTTGCACTCCGGATCAAGTCAGTCACTTTGCTACCTGGACTGCAGCTCTTTTTTCCAAGCATCACAAGCATATTTTAGGTTTCTGTGTGTGAACAGGTGCTGTAGGAAGCACGATTCATTTGTTTCTTAGAAACAATGTTTCGTTTCTTCTTCCTTTTGAAAACCAAATTGAAAAGGGAAAATGGCCTGTGTGGAGCTCTGTGCATTTCCCGTCAGGCCCTGTGTTGTGCACAACTGCTCTTACCTTTAGTTTACAGACTCCCCATCTGGCTAGGTACTTTGATTTATGTTGGCTGTGATGCAGAACGACTGATTTGGTTTATTTTAAGAAGTTTTATTTTAAGAAACTTTTGACATTTAAGAATTTAATTGGAACAGTCTGTACCCAGAAATTTTTTAATGCAGTCTAGGATTAAAAGATGTTCTTCGGAGTATGGAAGGTTCTAGGGAAGAAAAGAGAAAGAAAAAAGCAAGGCTTTTCTTTCCTGGCCAGTCCTTGTACTTCAGGAGAATCCTCGGGCTGGGACTTCTGTCCATAATGAGGTTGGGCAGAATGGCTGTTTCTAAAGTGCACGCTGCTGACCCTCAGTCCTGACACACTGCTGGGTGGACTGTCCACACAGGACCTGTCCCAGAGAGATGAAGGGCATGCTGTCAGATGGTCAAGCCGGCCCGGAAATGAATTACAGAAACCTCCCTCGCTCCCTTGGCCAAAGGCCAGGAAGAGAAAACAGACTGGTTTGAAATTCCTCCACCCTAGGAATGGAAGTCATAACAAAAGAAATTCAAGAGCCTCGTGAAGTCTGAGACTCACCAAGAAGACCCAGCATCTAGAAATTGGCCTGAATCTCTGTGAACATCTGCATGATCTGCAGAATTTCTAACACTTTCAGTGAGATGGAGCTGAGCTATGATCTTTGAGGCCACAGCAAATTAGAGCAAAGAGCTACATGACCTCCAAGAGGAGAACGAGAGGAGAAGCTGGGATCCTAAAGCCCAGTGGACTGTATGGGATGAAAGAGGCTTGTGCTCAACCAGTCCTGGGTACTGACTTGCGAACCACACCACTGGTCCCACCCTTTCCCAAATTCCACCTTTGCTGCCAAAACCTGCCACATGGACATCCAACCAGCACTCAGGCTCAGGGAGTCTTCGACATTGCTCCACTCTGCCATTTCTGCAGGGGGCACTGCTATTCTCCCTTCTCCTAGTTA